GATGACGTAGCCAAAGGTAACTGGGGTCTGTGGGACCAGAGGGCGGCGCTGCTGTGGCTCAAGGACAACATCGGGGCGTTTGGCGGGGACCCCAACAACATTAACATCTTTGGCGAATCGGCTGGAGCAGCCAGTGTCTCCTACCAACTGCTCTCTCCCCAAAGCAAAGGTAATTATAATGTAACCAAAGAATGAGAAAAAAAAATCGAACGAACGAACGGACAAACAAACAACAAACAAAAAAATAATCCAGAAAAGGCAATGGACTCTTTGTGTAAAGCGCTTTTCTCCTTAATACTGCCCACTTCTAAAGGAAACTCTTTTAGCCGTCTTTACAGGGGCCCAACATCTTGAAAAGACTCAGTATTCAGTTCCCAAAGACAGAACGAGTTATATTTTAGAATCTGGATCGCTGAACCCTGCTATCGAAAACATATCCTGAAAGTGGAGAGCTTATTTATCAGACAGTGCAAAACTTGTAGTTCTAACCAGCAACGGTCATTCTTACGACGTTTTATTATTGTACGAATAAAGGTCTATAGGCCAGATCTGCTGACAATAGGTATATATCCATAGTTCTATGTATCTCCAGGTAATTTTTTTTAACCCATATTATTATAATTCGCTTAGTCTTCCTCGCGGTAGTTTCTTAGATTTCCTTCGGAAAGAAATCAATTTGGAACAACTTTTTAGTCGAAATCCCATTTATATTACGCCGAAAAGCAGCTTACAGAACGTTGATGATATTTACGTTAAGGATGATATATTCTATATTCTGTGCGAAAAACGCTCCATTTACGGTGTGAGCACGTGTCATAGACTTGAATTATTAATGCAGTTATATCTTATAGCATGCAGTGCCATGGTCGCCGCTCTTTCCTCTCTACGAATTATTGAAAAAAAAAACAAAAAAAACCCAACAACTTTGCTGCAAAATGTGGGCACATTGAGCACCCAAGTGAAAATAACTCAGCACTTTAATAGAAAATCGAATGCACTCAGCACATTACTCCGTTGCCTCTCATTTAATTCCGAACTGAGTAAAAAATGGTGCGCTTCAAAGTGAACCCAAATTACCTCAGAGTACAAGAGCTAGAACACTATCATTAACGATACACGTCTATGATGGCACTCACCGATCCCTTTGCTTCCCACCAGGTTTGTTCCGTCGTGCAGTCATGCACAGTGGCTCAGCAACCTCCACCTGGGCTTTTCAGCGCCACCCGGCGGCAATGGCGAACAGGCTGGCTCAAACTTTTGGCTGTGGTCAGAGTACGTCATCTAACGCTGCCCACCAGGCCCTGGTGACCTGTCTGCGGTCAAAGAGTTCTGATGAAATTAAGAACAAGACCTTTGAACTCTTGGATTCACTTCCGGAGTATGCGCAGGTATAATTTTATATATATCTAATAGATCAGCTTGCGCTCTTCCGTGACTTGACTTTTTTTAAACAACTGTGGCGGTATTAGAAAAACATAACTATGATAATTTAAATTAAATGAATAATAAATAAGCAAATGAATGTATACGTGTGTGTGTGTGTGTGTGTGTGTGTGTGTGTGTGTGTGTGTGTGTGTGTGTGTGTG